TACCCCAAAATATGGTGGTACATGTCTTTAATCCCAACACTTAGGAAGCAGAGGTAGGTATGGTTGGTGAATCTCTGAGTTTGAGACCAGTCTGATCTACATACTGAGTTCCAGGGACAGCCAGGGTTACATAGTGAGAGTCTGTCTCAAAGACAAAACAAAACACATTATCTATGTCTATTGCAATATAAATGTCCTCAAATGTTAGCTGTTTTTCCATTGAAAAATACTCTAGAAAGACATGTCAGACTCTATTGTGGAAGCAGTTTATGAGGGCTAAAAACAAGCCCCATTACTTGTTTAGACTGTCTGAATCTCTAATTATAGGTCCTTGGCTGGGACTAGGGATTAAGTAAAATGATAACTGTATAGCACTCAGCATGGAGCTTGGGGAGTCAAAAAAACACACCACGAGACATGCTCTGCTCCCCAAACTGCTGTCAAACTCTGAATTCTCCTCTACTTTCACAGGCCTTGGCTGCTCACCTGCTAATTAACTTAGCAGCACAGAATCCTAGAGCTTCTTGAAAGTCTGAGCAGGGTGCCTGGAAGTTTTGCCCAAACCTGTGTATATGTGTGTCACGAAACTAGAAGGAGTGTGCTAAGAGGGAGAAAAATTTTAAGCTGGGAAATTGGGTATTGGTATGCGTGTGATAGGAAAGCAGAGGGAAGGACTGAGTGGGGGAGGAAAAGGGACCTGGAAGCGCAAATGGAAGGGTGTATGCCTAGCATGCACCCTAGGTTAATCCTCTCACTAAACAAACAGGGCATGGCAGCAACTACACCTGTAATCCCAGCACTCAGGAGGCAGAAGCTTAAGGGCATCCTTGGCCACAAAGTGACTTTAAGGCCAGCCTGGGCTACATTACCATGTCAAGAAAAAGTCACATTTATGTTTCCCAACAACATTTGTTCTGTGAAGGTACGAGTATATGTGCATATATAATTTGCTAAAGGAAGTAATGGAGGCAGACACTACTTGTTATTGTCCACCTCACTGCTCCCTTACACAGTAAAAAGGGGGAACAAAGATGTTCTGAAGGAAAGTGGTGGTAGATACTGGACACCAATCATTTTCTTTGCAGAACACAACCTCCCTTTCCTACCTCTGGCTGGGATTTAAATGATAGTTATCCTTTGCTTTTATAAGGTACCTGGCTTAATGCCAGTCATTTGCTTTTTAAAAAATCTTAAGTTAGAGATAGGGAACCTCAGCCTTTCTTCTTCTTCTTCTTCTTCTTTTTTTTTTTTTTTTTTTGAAACAGGGTCTTACTATGTAGTCCAGGCTGTCCTTGGACTTACGGTAACACTGTTGTTCCAGCCTCCCAAGTGCTAGCATTACAAACATGTATTTACCATGCCTGGCTGAGAAAGCCCAAGTCTTAATTGTACTCTGGAGTTTTGAAATGTATGTTCATGAGCCTGGGAGTCAGAACACACTACTGAGAGAGCAGAAGGTCTCTTTAACAGAGACCCAAAACATATCCTGGTAAGGTTTAAGTCATTTGAAGCCATAGAACATCCCTGTCTTCCTAGACTTTGGACATGGTGCTCATATATTTCCTTTTTGGTAAGTTGAGTAACTGAATTTCTTATCTAACAAAGAACCCTAATTCAAGCCTATTCCTAAACACTCTAAGCTAGTGATTTATTCCTGCCACGACTAACAACCACAGGAAAGCAGAGTTTCATCTTAGTCCTTTTCCAAACCAAATGCACATCCTGGAAGAAAGGTGCACACCGTTTATTAAGAGCAGAAAGTATTTAAGACATACAATGGTTGAATATTTCCAGGCAACACTGGCTATTGCTTCTATTTTGTTTATTTTTTTTAGAGACATTGTCTCACTATGTAACCTTAACTGGCTTGGAATTCACTATGTAGACTAAACTGACCTAGAGCTCATAGACATCTTCTGCTTCCTTCGATTAAAGGCATGCACCACCACAGCCAGCCTGGTTATTGCTTCTAATGGAATTTAGCAAATAGGCAAAACTACTGTCCATATCAAAGCAAATGTTCTGAGTCACCTTTTTAGAGAACTCCTTTTCTTTTTCATTGAGTGCTTGAGTCTTCTCTTGCTCAAGAAGGAAATGTGATCTTCTCTGTTCTTCTAGAATGGATTCTGTCTGATGCAGTGAGTCACGCAAAATTTTAATTTCTCCATTCTTAATTAGGACTTCTTCTTCCATTGATTTCAGCTGTAAATTATGCCCAACCAGTTGATATTCAGCAAGAACTGTTTTAGAATACACTTGCCCCTTATATATAGATTCTTTCAGCTTTGATTTAACACTATGGGTCACACACTTCACAGAACTAAAATTCCATGTTATAGTCCTGATTTTCTTAGAGGTATCTACAGATGACCATATGAAAGATATCTAATTGCTTACAAAACTAATGAAATAGTAACCTCTATGATGGGGTGTTCCTCATATAAAGGGACAGGTTATGGGGGTTAGAGATTTAGCTACTAAAAGCACTTACTGCTCTTGCAGAGGACATAGGTTCCTTTCTCAGTAACCACATCAGGTGGCTCATAACCAGTTGTAACTCTAGTTCCAGAGGATCCAACACCCTCTGCATGCATGTGGTGGCATTCTCCCCCCAATATTTTCATTTCAGGACGATGAATCTAGATGCTTGTTTTAAAGTTTACATATATATTATTTATATATATATATATATTTAAAAAAGAACTGTTTATTATGTGTGAAGTATCCTGCCTGCATGTATACATGAAGGCCAAAAGAGAGCGCTAGATCTCAGTACAGATGGTTGTGAGCCACCATGTGGTTGCTGGGAATTGAACTCAGGACCTCCGGAAGAGCAGCCAGTGCTCTTAGCCACTGAGCCATCTCTCTAGCCCCCAACTTTTATATATTTTACACAATTCTTTTTAATACCTAAATGAATGAATTAGCTACAAGTTACAACAAGTTAGGGCTGGAAGTATAGTTTAGCTGTAGAGCGGTTCTGTTTATAGCATGTGTAAAGTCCTGGGTTCAATTCTCAGCATTAGACTAAATAAGCAAGGAAGGAAACCTCACAAGTTACATACCTTTTCTTTAAGTTCGTTGTATTGTATCTGAAGTACTTCTAATTCAAAATTATCTTTAACTGGAATGTTTTCTCTGTTTTTCCTCATAGGACTATTTGATAACCCATCTAATTGACGAATCTTATCAGCACCTGTATAAAAACAGTTCCCATTAACTGAGCATGGTGGCACAGAACTATAATCCCAGCTCTTGGGAGGCAGAGGTACAGGGAGCTCAAGTTCAAGGATAGCCTAGTTATAGAGTGAGAACCTGTCTTGGAAAGAAAATCCCATATATACTTCCATATATATACTTCAGGACTCAGTATATACCCACCCTTGTCATAAAATGCTTGTCTTAAGAGACAAACTGAGAAAGACCCGGTAGACAATATTTATCAGTACTTTTCAGTCTCAGAACATGATATAAATTCATGAAGAACCCTTATGAAATAGCACATCTGGATACTCTCCCTTTATACCCTCACCCAGTTTTAAGAGTCTCAGCTAATAGCTAAGACTTCACTGGTTGTAACTCTAATATATCATTAATATTATTTACTGCAGTAGACTAGGCATAGGATCTGCTAGTCTTTAAAGACACAATGGTGAACAAAATGGATATATTCCACGGGGGAGATGGGGCTCCAGGGATGGATTAAGGTAAAGGAAAGAGGAGGAGTTGCCTGTGCCACCGGATGGAGAGTAGTGCTAACCACTGCCCTATCAAACATCTGGTCAGCAATGTGCGTTTTCTAGTGCCTGGTTTTCCTGGCAGTATTGCTGGAGAGATGGGGGTCCGTGTTTCCAGGAATAATCCTATGTTTCAGATGCCTTAAGTGTTAAGTACAGATGCAAACGGCCCATTGAATCCTGACAGTCCACAGATTTTAAGATGTTTTGGTATTTCTTGTTCATTGCCTATGGCCGTTGCCACTCCGAACCTTTGTTTGGGTGACTAGCATTGGTTGAATAAGAATCATCTCTTGCAGCCGGGCGGTGGTGGCGCAGCACTTGGGAGGCAGAGGCAGGCGGATCTCTGTGAGTTCGAGACCAGCCTGGTCTACAAGAGCTAGTTCCAGGACAGGCTCCAAAACCACAGAGAAACCCTGTCTCGAAAAAAAAAAAAAAATCTCTTGCCTCTGCCAGAGGCTTCCCATGCTCATGCCGTCCAAAGGTTACATACAGTGGGCTGCGTAAAATCTAAATACTCTCACATGGGTTGTAACAGTCCTGAGGTAGTCGTAGTCATGTTTCAAGGAAAATAAACAACAGTCTAGCTGTCTGTATTTCAAATCTGGGTGGATGAGGCCTTTTGACAGCTGTTTTAACCACCAAATCGAAGGATTTTTTGAAACAGAACCGCCCTTAGATCGGGGTGCTCCTTCGTCTTAAAAAGAGAAAGGGAAGCGGTGCAAGACTCCAGTGCCAAAGTCACCGCGTTAACGAGTTATGCACCACCCCCGGGGAAAAGGCGCCCCCATAAGCACTCACTGGACAGGTTCCGAGGCGCGACCGGACACTGGCTCAGGGCCTGTGACGCGAGGATGTCGAGTTCCTCTAGGTCGTCGGCGGTGAATTCCGCGTGCGCGCCGAATGGGTCTTCGGGGTCCGGGACCGTAGTCTCAGTGACGCTCCGGGCCCGCTTGCTCGGAGGGTTCTCGAAGGCCCGCGATAGGCCAGGGAGAGGCGCCGGGCCGCCGCTCTGCTTCCTGTGGCTGTTCGGTGCTGGGGTCCCAGCCATGAATTCCTTCAACCCGCAGCGTCCGTGGACGCCAAGCACAGCCTTGTCCGCGGCAAGCCCAACCTGGCCCAACCGCCCGCGCGCCGCCGCTCCCTCCAGCCTCCGGCCAATCAGCAGTCAGCTTGTGGGCGCAGAGAGATGACGCAAGCAGAGCGCGCCGTCACACCTGACAGGTTCCTGCCTGTCTCGGCTCAGGACCGCTAAATCGCCGCTTGTGCCGGGGCGCTGTGCAGCTCTACCGGGATTACTCGTGTGGCGGGATCGCGGAGCGTCTGACCAACGGCACCTGTGACTGTCCCCCTGGCTTGTGTAGAACACTGAGCCTCCGAGGAGCAGTTCGCCTTGAATCGAGACGGGCAGCATTCAGGGGTCAGCTCTATTTCACCTCACGCATCGCGGTTGACTCACCTGGCCTGTGTTCCGAGACTGTCTCAGGGAGAAGGAATGCAGCGGTTCTTCTGAACGCGGGGATCTTCCAGAATAGCGAATGTTTCGAGTATGTGTGAATTTGAGAAAAGTCTGGGAAGGGTGAGCTCGAGAACGGTGTGCCTGTTCAGAACTTCTCGGACTGTTAGCTTTCGTTTATTTCTCGGAGAGTCTTTATGTTCCGAACGCTGGTTGTATAGAGATGAATGAAGGCCAAGAAGTCAAGGAAAGCTTCCTGTGAGCGGTCCTTGAATTGCCCAACAGGTTGAGGGGAGATTGGCAAGAAAAATGGGTAAGAGGGTGATGCGCGATGTTACTGAGAAATATTCAACTTCGACAAGGATACCAGGTGGAAGTTACTGCGGCAGAGAGAGGAGGTAAAACTTTACAGGGGAGCAAAGAGTTGGGTTTTGCTTGGGTGTGAGCAGAAGTGGTGGGCGGAACAGTTAGCGGGAATGGGGGATTGGAGAGCAACAGGATCAAGACTCTTGCTTGGTGCCAGACTTAGCTTGTGAGCCTATCAATCTGCTAAAATATCGGGTCAGAGAGTGCTCAGGTCTAGAATGCCTTAGGTCTTCTGTTTTTTTAGATTTGTTATTTTTTATGTATATGAGTGTTTTGCCTGCATGTATGTCTGTGCATCACACGCATGCCTGGTGCCTACAAAGGTCGGAAGGCAATGGCTCACTTAGAACTACCTTAGTTTTTTTTTTTTTAATTCAACTGCTAATAGTTTCCCTTAGCTTTCCAATATAATTGACATGTAACCAAAGCTGGCCTGAAACTCCAAAATGTCCTTCCTTCTCTCTGACTGCTGGGATTATAGACCCGAACCACCGTCAAGCTGTTTTTGTTTCTTGAGATGGCCTCGCACTTCCAATCCTCCTGTGTCAGTCGCCAAGTGCTAGAATTGTAGGTGTGAGTTACCATGCCTGACTGAATACCCAAGTCTTACTAAGGTCTGTGGTTCAGAAAAGAGATTGGACTGTTCATTGTCAGGTAGGATCAGATTCCAGAAAATAAAAGAGAAGTAACTTCCGTTAGGGGGCAGGAAGCCATGACTGCTGACTTTTTGTTTTTGTCGTTCGTTGTTGTTATTGTTGTTGTTTCCAGCAGCTTGGGTCTGGGAGCCAGCTGGCAAGACTCCATGGTCCTAAAGCTCAAAGAAGGTGCTGTTTTTTATGTGTATGAGTGTTTCGCTTACATGTATGTCAGAGGCCAGACGAGGGCATCAGCTCCCCTGGAACTAGAATTATAGTGAGTCACCATGTGGGTGCTGGGAATTGAACCCTGGCCCTCTAGAACAGCCAGTGCTATTAACTGCTGAGCCATCTCTCCAGCCCCCAAGTTGGTTTCTGATTCTCTTGCATCAACTGACCGAGTGCTGGGATTACAGGTGTGAGAGCTAGGCATGCCTGTAATTCCAACTGCTCAGGAGGCTTGGGCTGGAAATCACAAATTCAGGGTCTGCCTGAGCTACTTAATAAGACCCTATTCCCAGTTGTATGAATGGCCTAGAGGGAAAGTAAGTCTTGTGCCTCTCAATTAGGTTTTTCAGGAAATATATATGGGGTTTGGACAGTGTTAAAGTTATTTGCTTAGAATATTCAAGGCTCTGGATTTGATTTCCGGCATCCTGTCTCCCCTAAAATAGGATCACATTTCTGGGCATGATGGCACCAACCTGTAATCCCAGGTGAGGCAGAAAGATTTTAGTTAAGGCCCTTCTAGTCTATACGGACCGAGTTCCAGGCCAGTCTGTGATTAGACCCTATCTCAACTCCCTCCTTCCCAAACAAGATTGTTTTCTAGTCCAGAGTTTTTTACTTAGTGGTTGGTGGCAGATAACATCTGGTAAGAACTACTGCTTTACAGAGTATAATCAGGGAAGAGTCACTAATTTTTTCCAGAACTGGAGTCTGAAAACTAGGGCTCTTCACATGAGCTACATCCCTAGCCCCATTTTTTACATTTTTTGACTGTTACTCAATCATGCCTTCAAGTTGTGATCCTCCTGCCTCAGTTTCCCAAGGAGTTACTAAAGGTAAGACTGAAGGAATCGAGTTGGTGACACGGTGAAGGGCTTGGGCTTCCTCACTGCTTTGCAAGGATCTCTTTGTGTGTGCTTGCTATTGTGTATTTTTTTTAATATTTATTATGTATACAATATTCTGTCTGTGTGTATGCCTGCAGGCCAGAAGAGGGCACCAGACCCCATTACAGATGGTTGTGAGCCACCATGTGGTTGCTGGGAATTGAACTCAGGACCTTTGGAAGAGCAGGCAATGCTCTTAACCTCTGAGCCATCTCTCCAGCCCTATTGTGTATTCTTTAGCCACTAACAAAAACAAACAGAAAACAGAGCTGGGCATTAGTGCCTCATGCCTTTAATCCCAGTACTTGGGAGGCAGGCCTGGTCTCCACAGGACAGTCAGGGCTCTATGGGGTGCAACCTAGCAAGCAAACAAACAATAAACACACCAAGAGCCTTGCAGTGGTGGTGCAAGTTTTTAATCCCAGCACTGGGGAGGCAGAGACAGGTGAATCTCTGTGAGTTCGAGGCCAGCCTGGTCTACAGAGCAAGTTTCAGAACAGGCTCCAAAGCTACACAGAGAAACCCTGTCTTGGAAAACAAAACCAAAAGCAAGCAAATAAACAAAAAAACAAGTGAGGTTTGTGTTTACCCCAGACTACTGTGGCTGCAAATGGACTAGAGGGTGCATAGTGGAAATCAGAAGGCAAGGGATGGTGTCCAGACCACTTAGAGCAACAGTGGCGGCTTAGGAATGGTGTCCAGACCACTTAGAGCAACACTGGCGGCTTGTCACCCTTGAGGGTCACATATCCTATATTTACATTGCGATTCATAACAGTAGCAAAATTAGTTACTAAGTAGCAATGAAAGGAATTTGATTGGGGGTTACCACAAGAACTGTATTAAGGGATTATAGTCTTAGAAAAGTTGAGAAGAACTGCCTTAGAGCCTGATTTTAAGAACTTTGGCTTCTTTTTTTAAGTACTGAAGAATGTTAAGCCAACGAAAAACAATTATGAGTTGAAGTTTAACAAGATCAGCCTTTTCCTCCTTTGCGTGTTGAAGCCCAGGCTTGGGAGTCTTATTCATTGAGGAAGGGTGTCTCAACTGAACTCAGAGCTTACCCATATGGCTAGCTAGCTGTCCAGCTTGCTCCAGGGATCCCTTGTCTCTGCCTGAACTGCAGTTTGCTTTAAACACATGAACATATGGCAACTTCAATATCATGAAAGACAGGTGGCTTTCTTTATAAAGTATACTTCTTTTATTAGTCTCTGAAAAAGCATACCATCAGATAAAGAACCACACAAGAATGATAGCCTTTGAATGAGTTGGTTTAATTCAAAGTGATACAGAAATCAGAGAACAAAGACAAAACAGCAGGCTCTGGCAGGATTCCAAACTGGGTTCACTTTCAATTCACAGCTGAGGTAGGGACTGCTGAACACTAAAGACAATGAGCCATTGTATTATTTATTTTATTATTATTATTTTTTTTTTTACAAAAGTTTACTACAATGTACAACAGGCTCCAGGATAACACTTCATTTTAACTATAGGTGGCAATGATGTTATAGTAGGGGATCCAGATGTTTAACAGGTTCCAGGATAACACTTCATTCTAGCTGTAGATGGCAAAGATGTTATGGCAGGGAATCCAGATGTTTAAATAGGAATGGAAGAGGGTCACCATCATCTCAGATATGAGGAACAGCTTACTTTTTGCCAGATTTCTTAATTCCACCTGTGGCTGCAAAAAGAAAAGTCGCTCAGGGAAAAATATACTTGTGGCTAAAATGCCTCAAGGGTCTTGGTAATACCTGGCTCTTGTGCTGGGTATTTGCTATGACACAAACACGCACAATTCCTTCATCAACACCATCTCTCCTACAAAGACAGAGCATAGCTGAGGCAGGGGCCATGACTCAAGAGCTGCGGACTACTCTCTATACTATTGTGTCTTTCAGATTGGCTTATTAATGCTCCTCACAGCAACCCACGTTACAGATAAGCAGTTCTGGATGTTTGGTGACTTCAAGGTTATAAACTAGTATGTGAGAAGCCTCAATTCTCATCTGGTGGTTTGTCTTTTCTATTTTTAAAGTGTTTTATTTTTTGTTTACAGTAAAGTCTTAAAACAGTAAGGGTGGGCTTCGAATTCACTCTCCTTTTTTTGTGGGCTCCCCCCATTGGTTTTTTGTTTTGATTTTCTTTTCCTTCTTAAAACAGAGAAAGAACACAGAAGTTGGTGTGTAGGGAGGTGGAGAAGACCTGGAAAGAGCTGGGGGAGGAGAAAACATGATCAAAATATGATGTAGGTTCCCCCCTGCATACCATTGGCTAATAAAGAAGCTTCCTTGGATCTATCACAGGGTAGAAGAGAACAAGGCAGGAATTCCAAGCAGAGATAGAGGAGAAAGTAGGCAGAGTCAGAAAGACTCCACATAGCCACCACAGGAGACAGATGTGCCGGAATCTTGCCGGTAAACCATGAGCCTCGTGGTAAAATATAAAATAATAGAAATGGGTTAATTTTAGATGTAAGAGCTAGCTAGAAATACACTTAAGCTATTGGCCAAACAGTATTGCAAATAATATAGTTTCTATGTGATTATTTTGGGTCTGGGAGGCCGGGAACAAATGAGCAGTCTCCGCCAACAAACGTATACTGTATGAAAAAAAGGTTTTAATCAGGTATGGTGGTACATGTCATTAGCCCCAGCACTTGGGAGGCAGGGGCGAGTCTGAGGCCAGCTTGGTCTACATACTGAGTTCCAGCACAGTCAGGACTACAGATAGCAGTGATTTCCAGCCTTCCTAAACCTGCAACCTTTTAATACAATTCTTCATGTTGTGATGACCCCCAGCCACAGAATGGTTTTTGTTGCTACTTTATTTTTTTTGTGTTTTTTTTGTTGCTACTTTATAACTGTAATTTTGCTACTGTTATGAATCATAATCCAAATATCAGTGTTTTCAAATGGTCTTAGGCAACCCATGTGAAAGTGGTTTAACCCCAAGGGATTGTGACCCACATGCTGAGAAACCCTATCTCAAAAAATTCATCTTTCTGCCTCAGTCTCTCTCAGCCTCCCCAGGTGTTAGGATTAGTGGTATACACCACCATGCCAGGGCTCTACCTAAGAAGCCTAACTTCTAACTGCATACTTTTTTCCCTTTCACATTTTATGTGCCTGCATTTGTGGGCCAGAAGCTCACCCTAGGTTGTATTCCCCATCAACCTAGTGGTTTATCTCACTGACCCAGAGCTTGCCAAGTCACCGCCATCAGGAAAAACTGCATATTCTTAACTGCCACACTACAACACACTATATCCCATTT